ACCCCTTGTATAAAATTTTGGTAAATACCGACCTGGACATATCATATACCAAACAAAACCCTAACTATCCAGCTACAATTTAGTGAATAAATGAATAAAGTAAACAAAACGGTATTTAAATAAATTGCAATCAAAGTGGTATAGCCATATTCTGGCCGCCCTGTATTAAGTAAGTTTTATATTAAGTATTTATTAGAAATATTGAATTTTTTATAAGTTATATTCTTATGTGTTTAAAATTGACGGCAAAATAAAACTATTACTGATATAATAAATTGAATCGCGGTATCTTTGTAAAATTTTCGTAATTCACGCTTTATGCTTTATAAATTAATAATAAAATGTATACCATATTAAATGTTATTAAAATTATAAAAACAAAAGCTAAACAATTTTTATACTTTACATGTCAACATATACAATTTGTAAAATATCAATTTTAACTCAATAAATGAATACAATTTACTATCATCATTTAAATAAGAATTAAATCTATTACATTAAGTGTTATATCGTAAACAAGTTTGTGTATTAAAAGTTTGAAAGTCTTTATAATTGTATACAGGTATTGATTTTAATGTAATGCCTTTCTCGCGGCATCTGTTGATATCATTTACAGAATACTCTTTTTAATGAATATTTGATACATTGGATGCATAACAAGAATAATCAAATGTCTTGTAACTTACTTAAGAAAGTATTAAATTACAGATTATATTAGATTAGGCGCGAGTTAAACACACGAGTGTAGCAAAAAATTATGTACAGTATAGATTAGGCATATAAACCCCAGAAAAAAGCGCATAATCCCACGGCTAGGACTGCAAATAAATTATTCACTGATTGCCAACCAGGCGTTTCTGTGGCATCTTTGGCACACTGGACGGCTTCCTCCTCCTTACTGAGTCTCACGACACCCCCCTCCCTGTCCACTGAATATGTCCTATTGTTTTCGTCCGACTCTGTATTTCCAGAGCCGATGCAGCAAATCGTATACAAGAATCGATTTTTGCTCTCATTATCACTAATCGATTCCACAATAACTTTATTATNCTGTATTTCCAGAGCCGATGCAGCAAATCGTATACAAGAATCGATTTTTGCTCTCATTATCACTAATCGATTCCACAATAACTTTATTATTTTGAGTGCCTTTTGCTCTCAGGTCTGATCCATCCTCAGCTACAAACACTGTGTTTGTTTCACCCGTTTTGTGTATCTCTAGTACGGCTTCGTCGTCGTCGATATCTTCGCGCACTTTCTCGCTCTTTAGCGACCAATAAGTCAATCGATATAACTATTCATCAGTATTTGAAAAATCAAATTAGTTTTGAAAATATATTTCATGAATAAAATTCATGTTTACGTGTTTCTCATCGATGGGTTTAGTGAGTAAACTGATGACAATTGTCACGACCATTGAGATAATAAATAAAATAATACCGAAATGCAAATAATGCACTTTTGATAGTATTAGGGGCCGGGGATCCGGATCATTAGAACCACACGGAGGGACAGTATATGAGAACTCCATAACAAATCTAATGATACCAATCATGAGGCCAATTATTAGTCCCCAAAAGGCCCCCTTTTCGTTGACTCGGCCCCAGAATATGGCCAACACATAGACGGCACAGACAGGTGGGGACATGTATGAACACTGTGAAACTTACATCAATTTATCAACTGACAAAACGCTCCTGAGATACTATCCTTAGGTATCCTATGACTGGTGGTGGTCCTTGTCCTGTTTGTGGGCCGGGCGATAGTGGACGAGATAGAGACAGGCATTCCTACGGAATCGGTTGTAGATATCAATCGTGAATATAGTGGACGCGCTGTTGAATATGGATGTCAGAGAACTCATGAGCGCCGCCATCATTACGCTCAACATATCACCTGCTCTATCTCTGAGGCATTCCTACGGAATCGGTTGTAGATATCAATCGTGAATATAGTGGACGCGCTGTTGAATATGGATGTCAGAGAACTCATGAGCGCCGCCATCATTACGCTCAACATCAGACCCGTCACTCCTATTTGGTATGAAATGAATTGTGTTAATGTTTTTCCGATAAATGAATCGTTGGCTGATTGCCTACCAGTTGGCATAATTCTCAACACTAGCAACGGGTAGGCGATGTTAGAACAGCCCGACTCCGACCCACAAATATCTTTACACTTTTCAGGGTTAGAGCATCCGACCTCATCTGGGATATTGATTTTGAGTTATAGAAAATGTCTAGCAATTAAATAAATGCATACCTGGCCATAAAGCTCTGGATGCCATTCCGGGCAAAACCAACAAATAAAGCGGTGATAACTTAATGAATGAACAGAGAGTACATCCGGCTTTCGCGTGTGAAAAACTCTTTGCTGACAACGCTCTCTGAACTATTACCTAGGTAATTGATAATTCCACATTTATACCACAATCAAGACACATATAATGCTAGATTAGTACTGTATATACCTGGTCAGAACACCAGTACCAAACTGCTGAAACAGTGATACCAAACACCATGCCCGTCCAGGGAAGGTCTGCATCATCCCAGGGTCTCAACAGATTTTTATAGTATTGGCTGATTTCGCTGCAAGATTTATTAGTGGCACTGTTTATTGAATAATATTCTGTGTTATTAGGACGTCCTAGCTCTCTGAAATTATCCATCAGTTTATCATAACCGCCCACTTCTTTCAAACCTATTGGCAATTTAATTAACACTTAAAAATCCATTTTGTTATCAATTAGTTTATTCATTTATACAGTAATATAAGTCTTACATAACTTCTCATGTTTGTATAACTTATGAACTGAATATAACTTAGTTTAACATAAGATCTTATGATTAATGAAAACATACTTAAGATTACGAGTACGAGAGCGCCAATAATCATGAGAATTGTTTGCACGAAATCAGTCCAAATGACCTGTCATTTAATAATAAGCTTTTAAATCAGTTTATCAATCGTTGGACACATACTGTGGTCAGACCGCCAGCCATTGTGAAGACGGCAGATATGCCCAGAAGAATGACAACCGAAACGTACATATTTAGACCCAACGTTTGTTTGATGAATAGGGCGCCGGCATACAGGTCAGCCTTTTAGTAATACACACATTGAGTTATTGATAGAATTTAGGTATTAAATATATTTGTGAGTATCATACTGTATATTGAGAATATAAGATTAAACTTACAGATATTTTGGTAAAAATGTACAACAATAGCGCCAACACTGATAAATATATGCGAATCCTTTGCCCACCAAATCTTTTTCTAAGATATTCAGGCATTGTATTCACCTTAATATTAAACATGTAATATATAATGAAATTTAAGCATTAAATAAAACAGTGATATTCTTACTCCGGCTGCAATATAGACCGGTAGATAAAAGTATCCCAACACCAATAGGACAAACATTGCCTTTTAGTACAAATTATATTAAGTTCAATATTTATAACTGTATTTAATATGGTTTCAATGCATACATTAAGCTCAAAGGCCGCGATGGATAGTCCAGAACTAGCTCCCGAACCGGCTAGACCTACAAATTGACCACTTCCTACGTTACTCGCGAATAGAGAAGCGCCTACCTGTCAATCAGCGGTCATTTTAGTATATAATTCATAGACAAATGCGATGATATGACTGACTGGTATCCAATGCATACTCCTATTGGCTAAGAAGTAACCGCTCACTGAATCCCCTTTACTTCTTCTCGAAGACTTTATGCCATAAATATTGTCATAAATTTGTTACTTATTTTTAAAATGTTTTTGACAATTTTATTTATACCCAAAATCCGACGATCAAAATGCCCACAAAATATAATCCAATGACTAAATAGTCGGGCCAATCGATATGTCTTCCCGTGCCGTCAAAACCCGAAGACATCTTTTACCCTTACTTTGCATTCACCAATAAATCACTCAAAATATATATTAATACAATAAATGTGTTTTCAAGCCTTTTATACTGTATAAGTTGTTGTCTTAATAATGAATATCAATATATAATACAAATTACTTTTGATTTGTTTGCCACTTAAGAGATTCTAACAGAAGTAAGACTTGTTTTCAGAATAATAGAGTACTCATTGAGTTTACTCTACAGAATAGTTACAGAGATATCAGTTTACAATTGAAATTCTTGCGATAAAACTTTATTGTTTTTATTATTATAGACCAAATGATTTCACACTTAAATTAGATTAATTTTTATGTAAATAATATTTTGGTAACTATATTTTTTAGTGTTTCTATAAATAATTTTATTAATACAGCATTTCAACAAAAGTTATTAATTTGACAAAAAATTCTTAGAAATACCGTAAATGTAAAACTACTCAAACTATGATCTCAATTGTCTAAATTCATCATAAAAGGTGTGAAATTGTGAAATTCATAAAATATTATATAATGTAAAGAGATAATGTTTAGTATGCTGTACTGTACAGTATAACTATAAAATAATGATACAGGTAATATCTTTAAATACAGTACAGATTAATAAGACAGTAATAAAAATGTATTTTCCTGTTTTAGTACATAATACTAAAAGTGGCTCACATATACCGTAAAATATAATTAAACCAAATAACATGAAAATAAATAATTATCAATTTTAAGTGCATTTATTGTATGTTATAAGGAGCACCTAAATATTTTATTAATACAAATAAAAGTGACTTTGTTTATTATTTTCAACTTTGTTTGTACTTAATGTTTCTTGAGATTTTGCAATATTTGTAAATGACTATGAATTTACCATAATATTAATTACATAAAATATATAAAAAGATTCTAATTTCATTATTTTGTTATTAGATTGTTAATAATTATGTATGTTAATCAGATGAAATTGATGTAAACTAGTTAAAGTTAGTAGTTAATACTGTACTATCATACTAATGAAATGGTTATACAGTATTAAAATCGGTATCAAACAAAATTATTCTGGTATTTTTAGTTTTATTAGATGTGTTGAATTGTTTTTAATTCCTGTCAGAATATTTACCTTTTACATTTTGTAAATAGTTTTTATCTTATTTTCACTTTCATTATTGCAATCCTTTTTCAGTTTAATTCCTAATTTATCAGTATAATTTATTATTATTATTCACAAACAATTGTTATCATTAGTCCACAACTCATTCACTTTATAGTGAATTTGATTGTTAAATCAATATACAATTAATAAACAATTACTTTTTACTCTATTTATACACATTTATTTATTTAAATTATTTATCTAGTTTACCTAGCTATTATATTTTGCTCACTAAAATGTATCAGAATAATAAGGATATAAAAAAATAAAAATAATTATAAATATTATGTACTATGTAATAAAAGCACATTTATGAACATTTAAATCGGCGATTATTAAAATAAAAGTTGAGCATAGTGAAATGCATTCAATTAATTATGTTATCAGTTAATCATTCAAGCATTTCGTAACACATCATTTGGTATCCAATGCCTTATGCTAAAGCTGTAACGTAAACGTATGGCATAGTACTGAGCGCATGCAGTTTACAGTATAAAGTGAATGTGTAGGGCTCGGTGGCGCAACGGTAGCGCGTCTGACTCCAGATCAGAAGGTTGCGTGTTCAAATCACGTCCGGGTCAGTCCACTTTTTTTGGCATTTTATTTTACTTTTTTTTGCTTTTTTTAGTTAAGATTTTGTTTTATCGTGTAGTCATATAATTTTTTTTGTATATTACATTTAACAGTATACAAACCTATAGACAAACGTAAGTGTAGAGTTTGTGAACAATGTCATATAGCTGCTGTTATTTATTAATGAATTAAGTTACATCCTAAGTAATGCTCATAACTGATGGCAAACATCATATTATTAGATAATTATGAATTGATTGAACACTACTGTATGGATAGCACATCTCTTGGTGAAAAATGTCATACAAAACTGTGTGAAAGGTATCCGAAGGTTACCTTTACTGGACTTTCATACCTTTGTACAAAAGCATAAATAATTTCACTAAGAATGTTTTCCGAATATTGACTACTATTAAATGGGAACCACATGCAAAAGGTGTTTTACTAACCACAACAATAGCGTCGGTGGTTCAATGGTAGAATACTCGCCTGCCACGCGGGTGACCCGGGTTCGATTCCCGGCCGACGCACACTTTTACCCCTTTTATCCATTTTTACCTATCAATTAAGCTAGCAACATTCTATATTTTATTAGCATTGTTATTGTAAATTAAGTGTATATTTTATAGAATAATTTTGAAAAATATTATCTAATTTTATATACTTTAAAATATATAATAGTTTATAATCTTAATCGTCAGAATTAATATTTATATTTAATATAAAAAATAATTGTATGAATAATATGTGGTCTAATCGTTGGAAACGTTTAGAAAAGTCTATTGATTTGATCCAAACGTTGTGTTTGTCGTCTACAGTACTCACTATTATAGTCATTATGAAAATTATAATTTGGTAAACATTGGTTTGTGGGAAAAATGCTAGATATAACTGAATTAATAAAGTAATTACCAGGCATTTTCACTAAAATATAAGCTTTAATTATATTTTCATTAATGTGCGTTTAATTAAAACAAAAACTACACGTCGTTTTAAATTAATGATAGGTTACGGGTTTGCAAAACAATTTCTCTCACTGTTTGTATACTTGATACTAATCGCACAAAACATATCATTGTTTAAATAAATTCAATGTTTTCCACACATATAAAAAACAATAGAAACAACTCTCAGACAGTATTATATCAATAGATATTTGATTTTAATAGAAAGTGAATTAATATTTTTAAAAATTATTATAATTTTGATTAAATGATTAATTACTTTACTGGAAAAACACAAAAATCAAAAGGTTTTCTATTTTGATTCGTATCGTAATCTATTTTATTACTAAATTGTTATATGAAAACTCGTTTTGAGTTTAAGTAAATAAAATAATTACTTTATTTCGGAGTTTACTTTTGTGAATGCAATTACAAACTAATGGGAGATCTGTTATCAAAATCATACAATCAAATCGTATGAATTAACAAAAAGAAATAGCAATTCATGAAAAATAACTTAAACAGAGTCTACAGAATACACTATAATTTAAATATTCTTTTGTATTCAAATTATTTGAGCGCTAAGTCCTTCGACTTCATACATATTTTCTCTTTAATTCAAATCATTATACAGTAATAATCAAGTTGTAAAGCATTTACAATCAAATATAAAATTATCTTTTCCTTTAAGTCAAGAATATAAGGAAAAAACTTTTATGAACTCAAACACACATTACAAATGCAAACAATTAATTAACGAAAATCCCATAATTACTAGTATTTAAACTCAAGTCGCGGTCGACTGGCATTGGAGTAGGGAGGGGGTGGTGTGGATAAAGGCTCCGGTGCCAAATGGTACTGACTATTGGACTGTAGGTTATTATCGTAGTTATGAATACCGCTGGCGTTTGGTATATAAGACGGCGAGACTTGAATGACAGCCGGGGTTGGCGTTACGAACACCGGCTGCGGGGCGCCTATCGTTCGGCCCAAACCGATCGCCAGTAGCCGTCGCTGTCGGAGTCGTCGCGCGAAGTAAAAGGCGGCGATAATGACCGCTACACTCATGAGGTAATTGAAAACATTGGCTTTGATGAGAGCGCTGTTGGAGAAGTTGAAGAACCAGAGGACTGTCATCACTATCCCGTACGATAGGGTGAGTCGGAAGTTCTCTCGGATGGCCCCGAACAGGCCCACCAGTGTCGTGATGTCCTCGATCACCATAAACGCTATGATGACCCCTCGCCACGACTCCCAGTAGTTCCACTCGTCTTCATGCATGTCCTCCTGATGGGTCACCTCATGGAGAACCACTCCATAGCCGACAAATGTGGCGATTAATGTCAGTGCCGTTAATGTTATTAATGTGTATTTCGCGATCAAAAACGATTGTTCACTACTTATGGCCATCACTTCCAGCAAAGATTTAGTTTAAATGTCAATAGTATTAGTAAATGAAAAAATTCTACGTAAAAATGACTGAATTTAGTCATATAGTCATTAACAGTATAAACAATGACTTCATTGATATCATTTGATATTTGGTTGCCATAGACCTCAGGATTCTTACATAACTAACTGCCACTGACTTATAGATAACGAATTCAAACAAATAAAATAGCATTTCTATCGTATTATCTATTATATCTATAAACATCTGTAAAAAGTTTAAGTATAGCATTCAGAGCCTAATGAACGTTTCACTTGTTTGTTAAAAATAAAGGATTTTTATTTAATAAACAGATTAATATAGAAAATACCGTAAAACGACATGTGTATTTTATTGAATCATAATTTTTTTAATTTGATTTATTATTTGAAATTCATTTGAAATGATTTAATTACACCTGACATTTAATTAACAAAAATATTTCTTATGTTCAATATTAATTCAAGATAGCAATCAATCGTTTCAATACAAACTACTGTAATAATACTATTCAATACTAAATCTTCAAGAATAATGTGAATCAATTATCACGATAATAAAAACACAGTTTGCATCAAACCTTTTATACTATTAATTAACCGAAATAAAAGATTAATATCAACAAATCTCAATCAAGACTTGCGAAACTGATATCCAATACATAATATACTGTATTTAGATGTCATTTATTGGATGGTTTGGATGTTAGCCTTGATTTCAAAATGATTTCCAAATGAAAAGTTTCATATTTGGAGGACTGATTCTATCAGTTCAATAGCGAACATCATTTATAATGTATACTACAGTATATTATACGAGAATACTAAACAGTGTAGTTTTTTTTTATATTAAGCTCCGATCGGTAGAAATTTATTATTTTTCACGTTTCTCAATCGAAACACTGAAATGACATTTTAATTTTTAAAAACAATTTGTTTGCAGAGAGTATTAATTATTTTTTATAGCCCTAATTATCCCTCCCCTTAGTCTGAATTAGTTTTTCAAGAACTCTAAAACGTTATAAACATTTACTGATACTTAAATGGTATTATAATTAATGTATTTTATATATTTTTCTAAGAT